TATGAATAATTGTAAATATTGTTAAAATTGACTGATTGATTTCCTTCTGGACCCCCTAGTGCCCAAACTTTAAATTCCCTTATTGTGTTTTTTTTTTCCAAAGGTGAAAACTTAATTTCAAAATTTTATTTCAAGCCCATTTGCACATTTAATCACTTTGAAACTTTTTAAAATCAACATACGAATCACTATTTTGCTACACACACACCCCGGCCCATTTTTATAAATCCTTAAACTCATACTTAAAACATTTCTTAAAGGATTGAAAGAAACTCAGATAGTGAATATGATAAGATTTATCATCCAGAAGGTTCTGAACATTTGTAAAAACAGTAAAAAAATAATTTCAAAGTGTTTTAAGAAATGAGGACTGGTCAAACCTTGAGTCTATATAAGCTACATTAAGGACTCTGGGCATGGTCCCAGCTGCTTGCAAGCTGACTGCAAAACCTTGGTTCCTCATGTGTGGGCAGTCTCACAAGATTTCCTTCTCTGGAGAGTTTTCATCAGCCTGGATCCAGGATCTGGCCGCCCTTTTCAACTGGAATATCATCTGACTCTTCCAGAAATGTCAGTTTGCAATGTCCTCAGGAGAAGACTCCTTGGCTAATTTTCTGATGTTGGATTTCCAAAGAGATCTGTTGAAGTTTTGAAAGACTTGGTGAGAAGGGTCAAGGAAAAAAAAATCCAAGACATTATTTGAAAGGATGAAAGATTAAGATTGTTAAAAGAAAAGGGAAAGAATATAAAGTTGGCTTATTTGATCAAGGTTAAACTAGATATTGTTCTGATAATCTTTAATGGGATTTTTGCTGATCAGGACTTTCTTTATAGATAGGTATCAGGAGACGGTTATATATTGTAGTATTTTAAGATAAGAATGATTTGTTAAAGTTGTTTATACCTCTTATGATAATGGAGGAATGATTTCTTATATATTTATTTTTGGGTTGATATATTCTTATTTTTTTCCTTTTTCCATTTTTTCCTCCACTATCTTTGTTTTTAGTTGATTATTTTTTGTACTTTGTATTACTTTTTATCTGTATAATTCTAAGTAGACAACCCATGACTCATTGGGTCATCATTTCAGAGATATTTACCTAACACTTGTGCACCTGCGTGTAGACGTGCACATCACCATGTATCCTCCCAGCTTGCAACACCTGCACAGCCTCCCTAACTTGCGTAGTACCTCTTACTCACCCTCTGATCTGCATGGAACCTTTTATGTAACCTCCTAATCCATGTGACACTTCTTATGACTCCATGTAGGCATGCAACATAGGTTGGGAAGGTTGTGTTGGGGTGCACGGGGTCTAGCACCTTTCTCCCACGCAGGTGGGAATGAAATATGGATCAGGAAGAGTAAGCAGAGATGACGTGCTCCATGGGTCAGGGAGGGTGAGCAAGGTGAGCATGGGGTACAAATGAGGTGCAGAGTGGATCAGGGAGGGCATGCAGGAATGCAGCATGGGTTGAGAGGTTGGAGTGCAAGGGTGTCCAGCATAGCATGAGAGGCTGGGGACGTTGCATAGGTGGAGGAGACTTAACTGAGAACCTGTGACCTTCCCTTCTAGCTTCTCCATTGCCAACGCTCCCTGCGTTTCCCACAAGCAAAGTGTCTGCTTGTGGGAAGCTGCTAGAAATATTATCAATCACAAATGAATTTGTGCTTCTGTCAGCTTTGCCCCTGACTTATGGGAACCTGTCGAGGATTATTGGAAATGGCAACAAAACTGTTACCATAATAATAATAATACAAATAATAATAATAATAAAAATAATAATAATAATAATCAAGTTGGAAGGGACCTTGGAGGTCATCAAGTCCAACCCCCTGCTCAGACAGGTAACCCTATACCATTTTGGACAAATGGCTGTCTAGTTTCTTCTTTAAAACTTCCAGTGTTGGAGCATTCACCACTTCTGGAGGCAGGTTGTTCCACTGGTTAATTGTTCTAACTGTCAGGAAGTTTCTCTTTAGTTTTAGGTTGCTTCTCTCCTTGATTAGTTTCCATCCGTTGCTTCTTGTCCTGCCTTCAGGCACTTTGGAAAATAGCTTGACTCCCTCTTCTTTGTGGCAGCCCCTGAGATATTGGAATACTGCTATCATGTCCCCCCTCGTCCTTCTCTTCATTAAGCTATACGTACCCAATTCCAGCAACCGTTCCTTATATGTTTTAGCCTTCAGTCCCCTAATCATCTTTGTTGCTCTTCTCTGTACTCTTTCTAGAGTCTCAGCATCTTTTTTACATCGTGGTGACCAAAACTGGATGCAGTATTCCAAGTGTGCCTTACCAAGGCATTGTAGAGTGGTATTAATACTTCGCATGATCTTGATTTTATCCCTCTAGCCTAGCACTGTGTTGGCTTTTTTAGCAGCTGCAGCACACTGCTGGCTCCTATTTAAGTGATTGTCCACTAGCACTCTGAGATCCCTCTCACAGTTACTACTATTGAGCAAAGTACCACCTATACTGTACCTGTGCATTTGGTTTTTCTTGCCTAAATGTAGAACCTTACTTTTTTCACCATTGAATTTCATTTTGTTNCTGGTCCACTAATTTTGTCACTTGGTCAAAGAATGCAATAAGATTTGTCTGGCATGATCTGTTTTTGACAAACCCGTGTTGGCTTTTAGTAATGACTTTGTTTGCCTGTAGGTGTTCGCTGATTCGTTGTTTGATTATCTTTTCCAGAATCTTCCCAGGTATTGAGGTCAGGCTGATAGGTCTGTAATTTCCTGGGTCCATTTTTTTTTCTTTTTTGAAGATGGGAACTACATCAGCTCTTTTCCAGTCCTCTGGAAAATATAGTTCAGTGGTTCTGAGATAACATCTGCCAGTTCCTTGAGAACCTTGGGGTGTAATCCATCTGGTCCTGGTGATTTGAACTTGTCTAGGCAGGACAGATGCTCACTTACCATTTTCTTACCTATCTTTTCCAGTCCATCTTTGAAAAATATAGTTCAGTGGTTCTGAGATAACATCTGCCAGTTCCTTGAGAACCTTGGGGTGTAATCCATCTGGTCCTGGTGATTTGAACTCGTCTAGGCGGGACAGATGCTCACTTACCATTTTCTTACCTATCTTAACTTGTGTTTCTATTCTGTTTTTTATGGCACTATTTTTGATAGGTTGGTCTGTTTTTTCCCTTTGTGTAAAGACAGATGCGAAAAACGAGTTAAATAGTTCTGCTTTCTCCCTGTTGCTTGTCACCTTCTTGCCATTTTCATCCACTAATGGACCAATCGTTTCCTGCACTTTTTTCTTGTTTTTCACATGTTGAAAGAAGCTTTTTTTGTTATTTTTGACTTTGGTCGCAAGCCTTAGTTCATTTTGAGCCTTAGCTTCCTCACTTCATCTCTGCAGGCTCGGGCTATTTGCTGATATTCTGACTTAGTTATGTGTCCCTCTTTCCACTTTCTATACTTGTCCTTTTTATTTTTCAATTTATCAGAGTTCTTTATGCAGCCATGCTGGTTTCTTTTGAGAGCTGTTATTTTTCCTCTTTGTTGATATTGTGCTAGACTGGACTTTTATTATCTCACTTTTCAAAATTTCCCAAGCTTCTTGAGTTGTTTTCCCCTGGAGGATTCTCATCCATGGAATCCTTCCCAAACCCTCTCTAAGTTTATTGAAATTAGCTCTCTTGAAGTCCAAGACTCTAGTTTGACTGTGTTCTATTGCTTGTGCTTCCATAATGTTGAATTCCAATATTGCATGATCACTTCCTCCCAGGGTTCCTATGGCTTCAACACTTTCTATCATTTCATCTGTTAGTGAGAATTAGATCCAAAATGGCTAATCCTCTAGTTCCCTTCTTTACTTTTTGGGAGACAAAGTTGTCTGCTAGCTAGGTTTGTCAGGAATCTGTTTGATCTTCCACTTGGTGCAGAGTTTGTCTCCCAGTTGATGTCAGGGGTAGTTAAAGTCCCCCATTACTATGGTGATGTGCTTCCTACATACCTTAGTTAGCTGACTAGCAAAAAGTTCATCTATTTCCTCTATTTGGTTGGGTGGCCTATAGTATACACCTATGGCAATGTCATTCCCCCCCCCTTTTATATTGACCCAAATGCATTCATTGAAATGCACTTTCACCCAATTAAGTCAACTAATCAAATTACCTAGGCAGTTTTGAGTGGTCCACGGAGGTCGCCCACTAATTTAAGATTTCAGGCAGACTGCAAGGAGCCTCACGAAAGGAATTGAATTGAATACCGCCCAGTCGATGCAAACCCAGGCTGAAGTAAAGCAAGGAGTCCAGCTTAAGAGGTCCCGAAAACTAACCCAGCTGACTACAGTTTCACGCCCCACGGAACAATTCACTCACGTGGCCTTCTGCACTCGCTACCCCCCCCCCCCAACTCATTGGTGCGAAACTTTTGACTTTTTTTTTTCTTTTTTGGACAAAAACATAAGTCAGGAGCGTGGAAAATCCAATCAAAAACAATCCATCAAAAAAGCAGAGCTTGCCAAAAACATTAACGCAGCGGAACGCACCGCCGAGGCTGGGGCGATGCCTCGATGGTTTTTATTGGCCATGGGCTATTAATGTATAGACCAGGGGTAGGCAACCTTGGCTCTTTTATGACTCGTGGACTTCAACTCCCAGAATTCCTGAGCCAGCTGTGCTGGCTCAGGAATTCTGGGAGTTGAAGTCCACGAGTCATAAAAGAGCCAAGGTTGCCTACCCCTGGTATAGACGAAAGCAGCAGCAGCAGCAGCGCTAAGATAACGGCGAGGCGAGGCAGGCGCAGCAGAACACGCCGTTCCCTTCGCTCCCTCTCCCTCTATTGGTCAAACTTGCTCTGCAACTGGAGGCAAGCAAGCTCCACCCCTATAACTGGATCTACGGGGACCCTTGCCCAATCAACGAGCTCAGCAGTTGGCGCACGTCAGAGTGGCGTACACGGCGCCCTATGGCCCTGCTGCAAATCCTGTGCGAGGCGGCCTCCCGCCGAGGCTTCTCCCCCCCCCCCCCCAGCACCGCTGTAGGATAGAGCGACAGTTGCAGCGGCGCCGGTAGAGGCGATACGTAACCTTTTGGGTAAGCGGCTTCCTTCGCGGCGGTGTCTGGGCGGGTGGGGTCCGACTTCGGGGGACAGATGAGGACACAGAAGGGGAGGGGATTGATGGCGGGGACGGGCGGCGGCTGGCCGGACTTAGCGGAATCTGCTGCCGCTCTCCGCCGTCGCGCAGGGAAAGGAGGAACCATCCGTCCGAGGTGCTGGTGGGGGGACGGAGGGGGGGAGAGGAGGCGCCCGCCCTCAGAAGCTGTGGAGCCCCAGTCGTGAGCTCTCGGTTAAAGGGAGGACGCAGCGCTTCCGGCCTAAACGCCGGTGCTCCAGACTCCAGACGCCGCGTGCGCGCGCGCGCGCGCACGTGTGTATGGGGAGGGGGGGGTGTCTCGGGCAGGGGAACGTTGAATGCGAGCAGGTTTCTCGAGGGCTGGTTGGACCTGTTGGCCCGCCCTCCTTTCCTCCAAGGAGGATGAAGAAGAGGGGGAGCGCGTTGGGAGTGAAAAGATGGGGAGACGGCGGGCTCCTCTCGGGCAACAGGGGGCTCGGAAAAGGGGGGGGGCGGGCGAGTAATATTCCGAGGATGATTTCCCCTCCCTTTTTACTCTATATGGTGGGGTTTCCCCTTATGTCCTGCAAGCAGGAGCCTTTGCGCCTTGAGAAAAAGCTTTGAATTACGTGGATTCGCTTTAACTTGGTCCTTGAAATGTATTGAATCTCTAGCCCGGGGTGTGTGCGTGTGGCGTTCATTTTACTTTGTTCGGTATACACATTCCCCGTGGAGATAGTTCTTTGGGTAATAAGGTTAGAATATAAATTTAAAAATAAAATGGCCCCGAAGTACATGTGTCTGTGTCACACCCCCCCCCCCCCCCCCATATCAGACCGTTATATTCTTCCTCATAGCAAGGATAAAAATGAAGACAGAAGTGAAAAAATTGTGGTTTTGGTTGGGCAAGTACTGAGAAGTTGCCTTGAAAAAGTGTATAAGGAGGAAGAGACTTGGATATATTGAATTGCTAGGAGAATTGTATACATCTGAGGCCTTCTTGTCAACATCTTGTTTTTTCTGCCAGCATTAGTTTAGATTTCCTGTCTCCTCTTTCAGAAGCTTTTGCTTCACATTTGCAGATAATGTCATTTTCTTACAATGAACATTGTTTCATCATCCTCATCGCTCTTGTTTCCTGCGGGTGGAGCCAGGGTCCAATACACCGTGTACAAAGCAACTCTAAACTTGTTCTCCGCTGTTTAGGCTTGCCATAGTGATGTTTGCCATAGTGATGATTAACAATTGTGAAAATAAAAAGTTGTGGGATGCCAGAAAGAGGATGTACGGTATCTCTTAAGTGAGAAACAATGATGCCACTAACATAATAATGATGATGATGATGTTGGAAGGGACCTTGGAGGTCATCTAGTCCAACTCCCTGCTCAGGCAGGAAACCCTATACCATTTCAGACAAATGGCTGTCCAGTCTCTTCTTAAAAACTTCAAATGTTGGAGCATTCACCGCTTCCGGAGGCAGGTTGTTCCACTGGTTAATTGTTCTAACTGTCAGGAAGTTTCTCCTTAGTTCTAGGTTGCTTCTCTCCTTGATTAGTTTCCTGCCTTCGTGTCCTGCCTTCAGGCGCTTTGGAGAATAGCTTGACTCCCTCTTCTTTGTGGCAGCCCCTGAGATATTGGAACACTGCTGTCATGTCCCCCCTCGGCCTTCTCTTCGTTAAACTAGACATCCCCAATTCCAGCAACCGTTCCTTATATGTTTTAGCCTCCAGTCCCCTAATCATCTTTGTTGCTCTTCTCTGTACTCTTTCTGTACTTGATATGCTAAGATCTAGAAAGGAAACACTTTGAATAATAGAGTGCAGTTGTACTAAAAATCTAGCTGGGGTGTGTGGTTTTTTTAGTAGTTAGCCCTAATCTTTTGAAATTATTTAATATGCTATGAGTAATCAGTTTGTTGAAATAAGTGTATGGTGTTCATACCAAAAGAAAGCATTAAAGATTATTGATGCTTTGCTTATCCAGAAGACTTTGCGAATACAGTAAATGTATATTACGCAAGAAAGAAGTACCATGTTGGAATGAATATGAAAAAAGCAGAAGATTGTAAAAAAACTGATAAAATAAAATAATTGACTAAATTATTCTAAAACTATGATTTTTATTTATGAAGGAGAGAAAAATGGTTTCCTCTTACTCTGTAGTAATATAGGAAACTTAAAATGAAATACTACTCAGCTACTAAAGTAGTTGAGCGTTGGTAAAAAGAGACTCTGGAAAGAACATACATTCACTTATTTGTAGGTCCAGGTCCAAATTTGGTTTGCATTTATTAACTTTTTCCCCCTTATCTCTGTCTTTATGGTCTGTGTCTGTTTTCTAATTTTAATTGTGGTTTATACTATATTTCAGTAATTGAACATCAGTGGATGTTTCTGCATTTATATTTATATTAATGTTTTCTCATCCAAATAAACACATTGGGAAAATAATTGTAATGACTTCCTAATTATTCTTTGGGACTCTCATTGCTCTTATCTTGCTTGATTTCACATGTCAAAGGAAAGGCATTACACTTCACATTTTTTATTAATATATTTGAGCAATCTTCTCAAATGCACACATTAATATAGTACATGTGTGCATATATGTACTAGTTGTTAGTGTTACAAGTTTACAAATTATTGTAAAAAAATTTTGTATCAATTAGCAGTGAACAAATAGACAAACTAATACATCTTACTGTTTTTGAAAAACAAAACTGATTAACTGCTGGATATGAATCCATGAATTAATTATTGAGTGTTAAGATTCACTTCTAAGAAAAGTGATTTAATTCTCTGGTTTTCATCCCAGGATATAATTCTAAATGTTTTAATAAATTCAGGAAAGTAATACTGATTTATTTCCAGTAGTTCTTTTGCAAGTGTGTATACCACAGATCAACCTGTTCATGTATTGGGCCGTGGCTTTCCAAAGTTTTTGGCAAATTCCCAACTAATTCTGGCATAGAATTCAAGGATCTGGAGTCTGCCCCAAAGTGTTGTTATAGTACTTTGACTCCTATGACTCCTATATTAGAACCTAAGTGTGAGAAGTTTAAAAACAAACCTAACAGCATAGTTTTGCCTGCTTTTGTCCATTTGCATAAAAATATAAAAATGAATGTATTGATTTATCAAAGAAGCAGATCAAATAATTTTGATAGTTCTCAGATCTCTTTGATGAATATCAAGATAATTTTTGCAGTTATGGGCTGCTTAATCAGGAAAAAGACTGCCACAAATGATGGTACAGGTAGTCCTTATTTAGAAGTTGAGTCTAACAATTTGGTTGTTAAGCAGAGAGTTTGCTAAGTGAAAATTATGTGACTGCAACTGTGCTTATGATTTCACTTCAGTTTTCCTTTGCTTCTTACTACTTTGTTTAATTGAATTTGGTTTTTTTCTCTTTTTCTTTGAGGATATCTTGGTATGCATGACTGAGCAGGTGAAATAGATACTACAAAGGTTGTTAATGTGAGGACTGTTTACTAAGGTTTTTTTTAAGCATCATCCTAATTTTGAACAATCACTAAGCAAGGACTGTACCATCTTATATAAAGAGTGTGGATTACCTTTAGAAAGAGGTGCTACAGATTTGCTCCCTTATGATAAATTTGACTACATCAGATATATAGATGTCTTGACTCCCTTAAGATAATTTGTGTTGCATTTCTAATTGTCCAAACTAGCAGGAATCATTTCCAAGATATCTGGAATATAATTATCCTTGGATTAAGTGATCCTTTAACTAAATTTGTCAATTCTGTGACAAATGGAAAGAGATGAGGAGATAAGAATTCTTGGTAGTGCTAGCAGATTACTGCACCATCTCAGATTTTTGTATCTGAAAAGACCAGAAATAATATATACTAGAATAATCTAGATCCATCTTGGTATATTGGGCCGAAAGGTATAACATGTATATGAGTTGAATTGTGGAATATTCGGATTTGAGGCAAGGAACTTTCCTGAGCATGCATGGTAGCTATCATACCATGGCTTCCTTTAATGCAGTGGTGTCAAACTGCTGGCCTGCAGGTCAGACATATCACGAGGAAACCGCGCCCACCCCATTGCCGGCAATGTGGAAAAAGCTCCGATACGCTACATGATGTCGCGAATTTGACATGTCTGCTTTAATGTGTTACTAAGAGGTACAGACAATGGATTTAAAGCATTTTTGCCTGCTTCATATTCCTTTACTGCTTTGTATATGAACTTTCCTGAGAGTGTATTTAATATTTGTCATATTTAAGAACCACCCATCTCTTCACAGATGGACTCTGGGCATTGTACAATAAAATACTAAAAACGTTTTAAAAAGTGTATAAAATTGAAAATTTTAAAAATGTAAGGAAGAGATCTTAAGAATTAGGAGGCAGGGGGAGGACTTTCCAGGTTGGGTTGCAACCAACCCCATAGCTGCATGTTCATCTGCATGCCCCAAGCAAGGGCACAGAGCCATGTTATTATGGCTTTATCGAATCAGGCAAACCAGCCAGAATAATTATTGATGTGTTATAACAATTGTTGCCAGGCTAATAGAATAGCAAGTATATTTTACAGTATTTGCACTGGCCACTTTCAAAGAAATTGTATTTATATTTGAGTTACATAAATTTGCTAAAGGTTATTCTTCCCTCGCCCTAATGAAGATGCTTAGAAGCATGGTATACTTTGATTAGCTTAAAGTATTAACTTTGCACAAAATCTATATTAAACAGATCTTATGTTAGAAAGAATATTAAAATGAACCTAAATCTCCACTTACCTTTCCCTCCCTTTATAAACTTGAGCAGTTGCCATGCAAGATGAAGATGTGTCTGTTAAGTATAATGTTAATACCTTATTCTTTGAATCAAAGTGCTAAAATATATTGTATGCCACTCACAATACTATAACCAGGCATGTCAAACTCGCGATGTCACGTGACATCGCGCAACGTATTGCGGCTTTTTCCCCATTGCTGGCAATGGGG